CATGGGGCAGGGCTTGTGGCTGGCACCCGAGTGCCAGGGGATGGATGGAGAGAGAGAGAGAGAGAGAGAGGGAGGGAGGGGTGGATGGATGGGGTGTGTGGGAATAGACAGACAGACAGACGGGGGGGATGGGGACAGACAGACAGACAGACAGACGGGGTGGATGGGGACAGACAGACAGACAGGGTGGGATGGGGACAGACAGATGGGGTGGATGGGGACAGACAGACAGACGGGGTGGATGGGGACAGACAGACAGACAGGGTGGGATGGGGACAGACAGATGGGGTGGATGGGGACAGACAGACAGACGGGGTGGATGGGGACAGACAGACAGACAGGGTGGGATGGGGACAGACAGATGGGGTGGATGGGGACAGACAGACAGACGGGGTGGATGGGGACAGACAGACAGACAGGGTGGGATGGGGACAGACAGATGGGGTGGATGGGGACAGACAGACAGACGGGGTGGATGGGGACAGACAGACAGACAGGGTGGGATGGGGACAGACAGATGGGGTGGATGGGGACAGACAGACAGACGGGGTGGATGGGGACAGACAGACAGACAGGGTGGGATGGGGACAGACAGACGGGGTGGATGGGGACAAACAGACAGACAGACGGGGAGGGATGGGGATAGACAGACAGACAGACCGGGTGGATAGGGATAGACCAACAGACAGACAGATGGGGAGGGATGGGGATAGACAGACAGACGGGGTGGATAGGGATAGGGACAGACAGATGGGGTGGATGGGGACAGACAGACAGACGGGGTGGATGGGGACAGACAGACAGACAGGGTGGGATGGGGACAGACAGATGGGGTGGATGGGGACAGACAGACAGACGGGGTGGATGGGGACAGACAGACAGACAGGGTGGGATGGGGACAGACAGATGGGGTGGATGGGGACAGACAGACAGACGGGGTGGATGGGGACAGACAGACAGACAGGGTGGGATGGGGACAGACAGATGGGGTGGATGCAGACAGACAGACAGACGGGGTGGATGGGGACAGACAGACAGACAGGGTGAGATGGGGACAGACAGACAGACGGGGTGGGATGGGGATAGACAGACAGACAGATGGGGTGTATGGGGATAGACAGACAGATGGGGTGGGATGGGGACAGACATCGCTAGTAAAGGAAGCTTTGATGCTAGGAAGAAAGGCACTCTGAAAGGACAAGGGATTACTACTATTCTCCCATGACCAGGCAATATAGCGTAATGACCATCAGGAACATTCAAACTCAATCCATGTTATATTCCACAGAAGCGATTCATCGCTGCGGGTATCCGGCAGGATTTCCCATCCTCCCTCACTAGCAATGTTGCAAAATGGCCCTGGTGCATTCTGGGTAATAAGACCAGCTGGTGGAGTGGAGGGGTGTCTACATTATTGCTATGCAACGTACATCAGGTTTTCCCTTCACTTTCGTATCGTTACCCACTGGGTGTGAGGTGGGCGAGTTAGGCGAGGCAAGTGTGTGTGGCTGCTGCTTTCCCATTCCAGCCAAGCGGCCCCCCCATCCCGTCTCCCCGCTCCATACTGCCCTGTTTGCGAGAGGCTGCCCTGCATCTGTGCAAGCACCTGCGGGTGGCAGAACTCACCCACGGGGAAGTCTCGTCTGGCTGCTTTGGAGCCTGCAGCAGGAGCCCAGCTGGGCAGCAGAGGTGCTGAAGTCTCAGAGCACGAGCGGTTTCTCTTTGAGCAAAGCGCATGCCCAGGTCTGTCTGTGCAGGGCCAGATCCTGCATCCTCGTGTTTGTGAAATGCAAGCACAACCACACTGGCTATTGATGTCCTGGGTGTGCTTGGTACACTAATCGGGCCCACTGGGACCCCGCTGTGGGGTTGGTTTCCTCTGATTGCCTCTCGTTAGGGATTACTGGAAAATCAAAGAAATAAATTGTTCTAGTTAATTTCCATCTGGGATTACAATATATCCAGCCCCTTTGCTGCCCACCTCCCATCCCCACGCTGCCTGAGGACTCAGCGTACCTCTTGAGAGAGAAATGAGCGCTGTTAATATCATGTGTCTAATGGATTTGGGCAATTAATCTCAATTAGCAGCTTTAATTACCTTTCCGCTCATTCAGAAGACCCCTTTGCTATGCTTTTCCCTCGCCCGTCACATGACGCTGGAACAAAATTTAATTTTCCTCAGATAAACAGGCAATTGTCAGTGCAATTACGACTTGGCACAGAATGGTCGTCAGCGAGTGTTTGCAGCCTAATTGCCAAAATGTGTTTAGAGCAGGAACATGTCAAAGCTGCCCTGTTCTGGTTAGCCCTGCGGCTGCTACGGGATGAAGAAGCCCCCTCAGCATAGGATCCGACACCTCTCAACTCCCTACAGCGTTGTCCTTACAAACCCCTCCCTGAAGCGAGGACAGTTAGCCCCATTCCACAGATGGGGAAAACTGACACAGAGAGGTGACGTGAGATCAGCTGGGGACCGGATGCAGAGCTCTGGGTCCCAGGCTGGAGCTGTTACCCCAGGTCATGCTGCCTCCTGCCATGGGTGCTGCTGCTGTCCTCTTTGACATGCCAGTGCCACATCTGCTGGCACCTCGCCACTGAGTTGCAGGAGGGCTGAATCCCACCAAACAGGCTCCGCATCAAGGGGGGCAAATACCAGCCCACAGGCCGGATCCAGCCCCTAGCCCCGCCCCTTCTACCTAGGCCCCGCCCCCTGGGAGCCAAGCCGCCTCCCCCCAGCATCCCAGGGAGGTGGGGTGGCACGTGGCCCCAGAGCATGGAGAGGGAGGGCACTGGGGGCAGTAACACTCCCCAGTATTCCTACAGCAGGCGTTCTCAGGGTGGCTTGGGGGCGGGGCCAGGCTGGTGGCTTGGGAAGGCAAAGCCCAGCTGCAAAAGGTGCATAACCCAGTGGGTGCCACCAGCGAGTCAAAACCGCCGTGTGGTCCCTGCCTGCCCTGCACCACCCCGGGCAGCCGCCCAGTGCTGCAGCGAACACGGGGCCCACGTCCACCTGCTGCCTCTTTCCCCCAGAATCCTCCTGGGATCATGAGTGTCCTGGACGACGTCTGTGCCACCATGCACGCCAAGGGGGAAGGGGCCGACCAGACCCTCTTGCAGAAGCTGCAGGCCGCCGTGGGCACGCACGAGCACTTTAACAGCTGGAACTCGGGCTTTGTAATACACTGCAGCGAACACGGGGCCCACGTCCACCTGCTGCCTCTTTCCCCCAGAATCCTCCTGGGATCATGAGTGTCCTGGACGACGTCTGTGCCACCATGCACGCCAAGGGGGAAGGGGCCGACCAGACCCTCTTGCAGAAGCTGCAGGCCGCCGTGGGCACGCACGAGCACTTTAACAGCTGGAACTCGGGCTTTGTAATACACCACTACGCAGGCAAGGTACACGGCCGGGCCGCACTGCCCAGCATGGCACCGGGCACGCAGGAGAGCACACGGAATGGGGAGGAAGGCACGCGGGAGAGCAGGCGGCACGGGGAGGCGGGGTCGCAGGAGAGCAGGCGGCACGGGGAGGTGGGGTCACAGGAGAGCACGCGGCACGGGGAGGCGGGGGCGCAGGAGAGCAGGCGGCACGGGGGGGCGGGGGCGCAGGAGCGCAGACGGGAAGGGCGGGTC